CGCTGTCTGCAGCTGCATTGGGGAGGGAGGGGGCAACAACAGAAGCCCGGGGGGTGCAGAGCAGAGACACCGTATCGGGCTCCAACATCTCTCCCTCTCACATGTTCTCTGTTAAAACCACCGCAGCCTGAATCGAGCCCTTTCTTGCTTTGGGGATTTGTGAGCTGCGTCTTGTTTCCGAGATAAAGAGAAAACGAACCATCCTCGCCGCCATTTTTAGGGAGCAACCTATGAAGAGAAACTTTGTGGCTGACATTAGCAGTGGCTCCTCTTTAAGCAAGAAGCCTGGAGCGCCCTGACAGCTAGCGCATTCCCGAGACAGGCCGATTCGACTACAATTACTCGTTGGATCGGCTGCGTGAGATGGCGAGTTTGGAGGAAAAAGTGGTGTGACGCCTTCATGGAAACTAAAATCTGGTCAAATAGTTTGCATCGGGAGGGAATGTAGAGCTGGGATTAGCACATTAGCATTAGCATTAGCATCTCGCTGCTTTCTCAAGACTGCACTGGCTCCTCTGTGATTTAGCAGCGGTCGTGTTCGCTCTCACTGGATTACCACGGGTGCCCATATCACTGTCTGGATAAGGTACGTGTGTTCCCACATCAGCTGAACATTAACTGTGAATTGATTATCTGTTTAGTCGTAGTTGACTTGCTGCAGTGATGCTTGTTTAGCCTCAGCGCTAGGTCTCCGTGTTTGTTGCTACTGCCCGATCTGCGTCAGGCGTGTTGATGTCCACAAGTAATGACAGATAAGTGGACATACAGTGCTTGTTAGTTATTCCCAGTTGTGTTTTACCCTTTTACAGTAGCTTGAAATGTAATGTAGATCGCAAACACTTTCGCTTTGGGCATATGTTTTGTTATCATTTTACGACACCACCTTATCCTTGCTACATTGGATTCATATGTTACAGTGCCCATACTGTCGCCTCATGTCTAATTCGCACACGACGTTTATCTGGAAGATTATTTGCGTGGATTTATATATATAACTTACTTAAACAGGGGCTAGAACATTTGGTTGTAACGTTGTTTGTGCCTGATGACTTGCCGTACACGATATGGATGCCCAGTCTGAGCATGCGCAGAAACGGGTTATGCAAATCGTGAGGCAGCGCAGATCAGGCAGTGACAGATGTCGATCACTTGCGAACCAGCGACAGTTCTCATAGCTCTGCAAAGTCAGAGCTGAGCAAAAGTTGTTGTCATAACTTAAATGGAGGGTAGTGTCGACAGATTGAGGCCTGTCTGGTTCCAACCATGGATCCAACCAGTACAACAACATATGTAGTCAATGCTCAACCAATGGGGTTGTTTTTATGGAAAAAAAATCCAGGCTAGAAACATGTTTTTCAGCTATAATAAACTATAATTTGAAATGCTGCCTTATCCTAGTAAATGCCGGCCTTCTGTGTTAGCTGCTAATCTGCTTTATGCAACCATTCAGTATTCAGTATGTGCCACTCCCATTTCTGTTGTTGTTGTCCAGTGTGGATAGTGGGATTTGAACACAGAACTGATTTTGCATTTGACTGCGTTCACAGAAAAGTGTCAATTAAAGTATCTGGACGTTTAAAAGTGATAACTCAAAAACTATAATTACTATCATAGATTGTAAAAAAAAAACAATAGAGTTCAAGCACAGACAGATCAAAGAGATAGTGTGGATAAAATCAAAGGGAAAGATTGACGAATACATTTTTGGCGACATTTTAAACGACCAAATGAGCCTCTGTGACGCCAGTTACATAGAAAATGAAATGTCCTCAGTCTGAAAAAAGCGGCAGAGGAAATCCCACAAGATTTACAAGGTTAACACAACATAAGTAAATCACTTGATTTAAAAAAGAATCATTAAACATTATTTATTTATTTTTTTAGTTCAACCTTGAAAAATGTGTTACAAATGTGATGGTTTCCGTCCATTTTAAACTTGAACAAATTAAACTTGAAAAAAAAAAAAAAAGGTCTGGTTTCACATTTAATTGGTTTACAATATGAAAGTATCACTTTGTTTCTACTCTGTGTAAAAAATAAAAACAAAATAAAATTCTTCTAATCAACTGTGGACTTCTGAAAATACGTAACAAACTTCCTCAAAGCTCATTCCGTCAAATCATCACATCCTGTACATAATATAAATAGGGCCGCTATAGGAAACTTGACTAATGTATAAAACCGTTTTGTTCTAGAAACTTTTAATGGACAGAGGAGGTATTTGGATACATGAAAAACCTAAAATATCTTCTGATTATTAAAATCTAATGTTTGGCCTTTTGTCACACTTATTTACCCTTTAGTGTGAACGTGCCCATTTACAGTATGCATATTGTCACAACATGGAGCTGTCCCATTGATGGGGGATCCCTACGTGAAGGGGGTGTCTATTGAAATAGGTGTATTGTTGCTACATGTGATGGAGACATTAAAATCTGACCGGCCGCTGATCCTGTGCCTTGAGTGTGACTGACCAGTGTCTGGAGTCTCGTTTTTAGCTTTGCGAAGCGCATTCTTTGCTTTCTGTGTTAATGTTGCGTAACATTATCACTTTGCAAGCTTCTTCTTATGCATAACTCACAATATGAGCTGGTCCACTTATACATAATACAAAACACTTTTCAATGATTATTATTATTATTATATTACAATTTGTTGTATAGGTGTTGTATACTTGTCATGGTGTGGACTTTTTGTTTGTTTATTTTGCTGTATTAGTTTTCTTCTCTTTGTTTAGTTTTAATGTCCTGTTCTATTTGTACCCTGGATTTGGTTTTATCTAATTAAATGACACTTTATTTTCTGTCCCGCATTTTAGGTTCCCTTATTTTCAACACATGACACCACTCTTGTATCATGTTTCTGTTTTCTCTGAGTAAGAACAAATGATTATTGACAATATGGCTAGAAATACTAGAAAAGGAACTGGCTTTGCACATAATCTTGGTGTTGAATCTGTGTCTTGTGTCACACCTTGATTTTTCCTTTCTGTCTGTTGTAGTTGGGTTGTGGAGCTGAAAATTGGGTTGTCCTCACAGGTTCAGGAAGTAAAATTCCCTGTTCAAAACTCTCCCATTCCTTATGCTGCTATGTAGTAGTAGTAGTCAGTAGTCAGTAGTATCATCACGGTGAATATTTGAATTTACACCCTCATAACAAATGTCTTATTACTTCCATATTCTTGCACTACATCGTGTATTACGGATGTATCTATAGAAGTATATGTGCCTTGTATGTTTATACTTTGTTTCTTTATAAGCTAAAATAGAAATGTTATTTTAATTTGTTAAAGTGTATAGAGTGTTATGCTCTATTAAATATTCTGGTATATTGTGCTGTGTGCTCCTCTAATGTTCTGTAACCTGTGCTGCAACACTGACATTTCCCTACTATAGGACAAATAAATGGTCCCTTAATCATAAAAACCACATGTTTTGAAGACACAACAGAGTAACTAGCTATAACTTTAACCCACAGCCCTAGAAGCACACTGATGACGTAACATTAGCTGAAACATGTTTATACGCGTTCAAAACATATACTTTTAAATATAAATGTGATGTTGTGGTATTTACCCCCACATAGCTGATCAATCCTGAACCAGGTCTCTATCTTTTTACACATGACTTTTTTTGTAATTATTGCAACATCATTTTTCTGTGGAACCAGGAAGTGAGTGTGTACTGTGCAGCTCCATTCATGTGTTCAATCAATGGGAAAAATACTGTAGCTTGGGATCAAAAAGCAAAACAAATCTGTACTGTGCTGTAGTGTAAACGCAGACAGTCTATTGATTTGTATGATAACACTGCATCATGCACATAAACTAATTTACACATGATCGTTAGACTCTTTCCATCTGGTTACTCTCCGTTGCGTTTAATGGTTTTGATTTGTAGCACAATTCTGAGTGTGGCTTAATGTCATTCCTTTTAATTTATTGAGTTTATTCAACTCGACTCAATCGACATGTGAAGCACTACAACATTAATAGCAAAGGCTAACTTATTTATTTATAATGTAAATTGCGGGCATGACAGTACATCACATATTACAATTTCATTTCAAATAATTGTAGTCTCAGAAAGGATCAGAAAAACAAAAAAAGAATATATATGTTGCACTGCCCCTTTGTTAAAACATGCACAAATTAAAAACATAAATAATATTAAGATAAACTGCAACACTCCTCCTTCAAAATTATTATTTTTTCATTTTAATCATTCATTTCAATACTATCAGATTTGATTGTTTCTTGTGTAATTTCCTTTCCTTTAAGGTATTTTTAACCAAATTTTTAAGTCTTTTCTTGTGACCTGGCACCATGGTAAATATACATTTTTACTCGCATCTACCTCCTCACACCTGCACTGTCTCAGTATTTGCCGTGCGGTGTGTTCTGCCTTGTGTTCAACATTGCGTTGTTGCTGCATTATTTTGTCTGCATCCTAAAGGCAGGTACAGCTTGTCTCCTTCTCTGTTGCTACTCACTGCATGTCTCCCTCCAGCCGGTGTCCACTGCCGGCGCCAAAAATCATGTAGTGTGAATCTCTGGCCCAAAGCATTAAGAGATTTTCGGTTGGATTGATAATCTCGGTGGTGTGTTTGTGTTTTATAGTTATTCATGACGCCTGTGGATCGTCTCGTTATTGCTGCATATTGGTGCTAAGTCCACTGACCTCTGCGTGGAGAATTGTGACGCAGATTTGCAGCTGATTCTTTTGAATTAAACGTATAATGCAACATCAACTTTCAACCATGTTACAATATTAGTGCCTGTTGTGAGATGGTCTTTTGTCCATGTTATGTTACCGTAGTTTGGTATCCTAACCAGGAGAGGGCGCTAGAACTGTAGTTCAGAACTGAGTGAGACACATGGCAGACGTTACCCCATGTTGTAGCTAAATAAAAGCTATTTGATGAAGACCATGACCCGTGTCTTGCCTCATATCATGACATGGTGTCAGAATTGAAGACTTCACGCCGACATTGAGAGCAAGATGGCAAAGTTTGGACCTGAGCCTTTTGATTTCACGCAGCCGGCGGAGTGGCTCACGTGGCGGCAGAGGTTCTCCCGGTTTCGGGTTGCGTCAAAACTTGACAAAGAAAGCAGCGAGGTGCAGGTGAACTCGCTCTTGTACTCTATGGGAAGAGATGCCGAACCTATTAACGGCTCATTTGTGTTTCCTGCGGTGACCGAGGCCATGCCACATCCAGAGTATGACTTTAATCTGGTTATGCAGCAGTTTGATGAACACTTTGTCCCGAAAAGAAACGTCATCCACGATCGCGCCTGTTTTCATAAGCGGAGCCAAAGGGCCGGTGAGACAGTCGAAGCTTTCGTGCGGAGCCTGTTCGAGCTTGCACAGCACTGTGAGTTCGGTGCAAGCCATCCAGCTTGCACGTCAAAGCGAACAGGTGAAACAACAGTTGCAGAGCGTGTGGAAACTACAGTGAATGAGGTGAGACAGAAACAATACAATAGCACAAGGAGGAGCTATGATAAACCACGGCAGGGATATGGACAGAAATACAGTGAGAGTAAACTTAACTGTCAGAGATGCAACAGGATGCATGATAAAAAAGAAAGCTGTCCAGCCCATAACAAAAGGTGCAGAAAACAATAAAATGGGACATTTCGAGGCCGTGTGTAAATCCAAGATGCTCAAAGAAGTCATAGCAGAGGCTGGTATGGACTCAGATGAAGATTCATTTTTTTATTGGAGAACTATTTTTGAGAGCAACCACAAAGTCAAAGCCAAACATCACTGAGGAGTCAAATGCTGATACTGACTGGGATGTAGAGCTACTTGTGAATGGCACTGCAGTGGATTTTAAAATTGACACTGGGGCAGATTCCACCGTTATAGCTGAAGAGACGTTCCGAAAACTAGGCTATAAACCAAAACTGAACACGTCCAGGCCCACAGTGTACAGCCCAGGTGGGAAAGTCAGATGCGTGGGTAAGTTTCTTGCCACCACTACATACAAATGTCAAAAATATCAATACTGGATTACAGTCATAAAAGGACAATATGCCAGTAACTTGTTGGGGAAGGCTGTAGCAAAGCGCATGGGGCTAGTAGCAAGAGTTTATGCTATCACCAGTGACTTAACCAGCGATGTATTTGGGGAAATAGGTCTACTGAACTGTGAGCCGGTTAAGATCGAGTTGACTGAGGAAGCGGTCCCATACAGCGTCAACACGCCACGCAGAGTTCCATTTCCGCTCCTCCCAAAAGTGGAGAAAGAGCTAAAGCGCATGCTGACTCTCAATATCATTGAGGAAGTTACAGAGCCGACAGACTGGTGTGCCCCAATGGTGCCTGCTCCAAAACGCAACAAGGACGAGGTCAGAGTGTGTGTGGATCTAAAACGCTTAAACAAGGGAGTAAAGTGTGGACGTTACATTTTTCCCACACTGGATGATATAACACCTAAACTAGCGGGAGCCAAGGTTTTCTCCATTCTAGAGACTGACCACTTTCCTTACCCCAATGGGTCGGTTTTGCTTCAAACAACTGCCATTTGGCATTACATCAGCGCCTGAGATTTTCTAACGGCTGAAGACCAACCTGCTCAAAGGCCTAGAAGGGACTGTCGTTGTAATGGACGATATCCTGGTCTACGGATCTACAAAAGAGGAGCATGATCGCCATCTCGACAAAGTGTTATAAACGGTCAAGGCGTTCGGTCTCAAGCTCAACAAGTCCAAATGTCACTTTGGAAAGAACGAATTACAGTTCTTTGGTCACATCATTAGCGCGGATGGTGTGAAGCCTGATGAGAGCAAAGTGGAGGCTATCGCTAAAATGTCCAGCCCCTCAAATGTGGAGCAGCTGCGGCAGGTTCTTGGATTAGTGAACTATGTGGGAAAATTCCTACCAGACCTGTCCACAGTACTGCATCCACTCACTAATCTTCTCAAAAAAGAGACTGCATGGGCGTGGGCAGTGCCTCAAGAGCAAGCATTTACCAAAGCAAAAGCAATGCTCATGGCTGCACCTGCCCTTTGTTTTTACAATGTTAACAAACCAACAGTGGTCAGTGCCGACGCTAGTAGTTACGGCCTTGGTGCTGCCCTGTTGCAGGACCACGATGGTGAATTGCGGCCTGTTGCCTTTTGCTCACGCACACTTACTGATGCGGAGAAGAGGTATTCACAGATTGAAAAGGAGTGTCTGGCGTCTATCTGGGCTTGTGAACGTTTCACCCGCTACATACAAGGTATGGGCCATGTCCGTTTACAAACTGACCACAAGCCACTGGTACCGTTGATCAACTCTTATGATCTTGATAAAACGCCACTACGATGTCAGAGACTGCTTATGCGCCTCATGCGATTCAACGTCACTGCTGAACATGTTCCCGGTAAGCAGCTAGTAGTCGCAGACACACTCTTCAGGCATCCATTGAAAAACAGTCATGTGCCCGAAACGGAAACACAAGTAAAGGCATATGTAAACGCTATAGTAACTAGCAAACCAATAAAGTCACCCAAGCTCGAGGAAATTCGCAGTGTCACACAAAGCGATGATGACCTTCAAGAAGTAATCAAATTCATCAGAAAAGGGTGGCCTCGCAAAATGGCGGGGGACTCACCACTGCGCGGGTACTATGCAGCCAGAAGTCACTTATCAGAGTCGGACAGTCTAGTCCTGAACCACGACCGCATAGTAGTTCCAGCAGTACTTGGAGCTGGTGTCCTGGACCAACTGCACGAAGGCCACCAGGGCCTTACAAAGTTTCGTGAGCGAGCCAAGCTGACTGTTTGGTGGCCAAACATCGGGTTACAGATCACAAACAAAGTGAAATCATGTGATTTTTGCAGAGAACACAAACCAACAGAGAGACGTGAACCACTGGTAACCACTCCCCTACCTAGTGGCCCATGGCAAAGGATTGCTGTTGACCTGTTTGAGTTAGAGGGTAAGTCCTATCTTGTTGCTGTGGATTATTTTTCAAGAGACATTGAAATTGCTTCCCTCACCACCATTACAAGCAAGCAGGTCATCAACAAGCTCAAACACATGTTTGTGAGATGGGGCATCCCGCTTGAACTGGTCAGTGACAACGCAACACAGTTCACATCAGCGGAGTTCCAGGATTTCAAGCAGAGGTATGGTTTTTCTCACATTACCTCCAGCCCACATTACCCACAGTCGAATGGAGCTGCGGAAAGGGCTGTTCAAGCTGCCAAGTACATTCTTAAACAGCCTGACCCCTGCTTAGCCCTTGTGGGTTATCGCTCTACACCGATAGCAGCTACAGGTGCAATGCCAGCGCAGCTCATGACTGGTAGACAAATCCGTACCACTGTTCCTGTCCTGGAAAAGACATGGCTGCCACGTCCGTTCAACCCCGACCAGGTCTACATGAAGGACGCAACGGCTAAAGGTTCGTACAGGTTCTTCTATGACCGCAGGCATTCGGCGCGTGCGCTCCCCGAACTCCACCCTGGCCAACCTGTTAGGGTAAAGCTTCGTCGGAACAGGCGTCATCTCCAGTCTGTTCCTGAGACCGAACCTCCTGCAGAGCAGCCGGTGGCCCAGCCTACAACATTGCAGCAGGACAGCGGTTTTTTCCGGCAGATGTGACTGAGCCACTTGAACCACCAGCGAGCCAGCTACCAGCGGGCCCTTCCTCTGGGTTTCCCCTTGCACCATCTACACCCGGGAGGACAACCTCCAGAGGGCGTGAAATAAGGGTGCCTCTAAGATTTCAAGACTGATTCATAAGGGCGAAATAATCCCTTTCAGGACTGAGGGCAGTCTACCCTGTGAATCCTAAACCCGTTCTGAGACTGTTAAAAAAAAAAAAAGAGTTATTGCATAACGTTTGTTAATATTGATTTTGTTAAGATAAATAAGAATGTTTGGGTTCTCTTACTGTTAATTTCAAAAGAGGGAGATGTTGTGAGATGGTATTTTGTCCATGTTATGTTACCGTAGTTTGGTATCCTAACCAGGAGGGGGCGCTAGAACTGCAGTTCAGAACTGAGTGAGACACATGGCAGACGTTACCCCATGTTGTAGCTAAATAAAAGCTATTTGATGAAGACCATGACCCGTGTCTTGCCTCATATCATGACAGTGCCCTTATCAAAAACAGACCTGAAGTTGTTTTTAGAGCCATCCATGCTACTTTCAGTATATCAGCTAATATAATATTCTATTAGTACGGATACGGATAGCGCTCTCGCTTCTCAGCAAGAAGGTCCTGGGTTTGGGTTCCCAGTCGGAACAGGGCCTTTTTGAGTGGAGTTTGTCTGTTCTCCCAGTGTCTGTGTAGGTTTCCGCCTGGTGCTCCGGTTTCCCCTACCACTAAAATCATGCACAATAGGTGTGAATGTAATGAGTGAGTGAATGGAATGGTGTTTGGTCAGAGGCAGATAATGGAAAAATATCTGAACTCTGAACATTGTAAAGCGCTTTGGATGATCATGGTCTGTCATAATGCGCTATATAAAGATTATTTGCTTTCTATATTCTGGAACAGATATGCAACTTTGCCCCTTCTGTGTAAACGCTTCTGTCTCAGACCTATTATAGTATGATGTCATAGTACACTCTGAGCAGTTTTCTGTCTTTTCAAACAAAAGTATTCCCAATAGGGATGTAAATCGGTGACCGTTTAATCGGTGGTTGACCGTCACAGCGTTAACCGGTCAAAGCTGTCGGTTAAAAATAAGAAAAAGCGGCGAGGGGAGGTCTCTTAATAAGGCTATTAATAAGCCCTATTTGTACGATGTGACGAGCGGGTCCGTATCTAGCTGTGTGCGCCAATGCATTAGTAGACTACGGGTTAGAGCCCTGCACTTGAGCCCTTGGCCCGAGGGCCCCGACGGCCCGACAGCCCGAGTGCCGGGCTTCGGGCCGATGACCGCATAATGACCTCGGACACGGGCCGGGCTCGGGCTCTTCATTTTCAGAGCGGCAGAATAGATTTACGAGCGCACCCACTGAATATAGCGTTCTATCACGCTGTAGTGTTTGTTGTTCTGTGTAGTGTTGTCATTGACGGCACATAGCATTACTTATGTAATGTGCAGATGTGTTGCAGCATCGGGGGCATCATACAGATGCGGCCGTTCACTCTGCACCACTCCGCACACACAGAACTCATTGCAACACATCACTACCATGTATAACTCCGCCCTCTAGCTAAGTCTGCGTTCATATCGGTGCGCGGCACTATATACTACGCTAAAACATTGTTATGGGAGGTTACAAAAAAAAAAAAAAAGGCGGGCTTGATGCGGGTTTCGGGCCTGAAAATTCAGAAACCATATCGGGCCGGGCCGGGCTGGGGCGCCACCCCCTCGGGCCAGGGCCGGGCTCGGGCCCAGATAATAGGCCCGTGCAGGGCTCTACTACGGGTGACTTTCATGGCGCACGCTCCACATATGCACGCAGCCACGCACAGGCACGCGCGCACACACACACACACACACACACACACACACACACACACACACACACACACACACACACACACACACACACACACACACACACACACACACACACACACACACACACACACACACACACACACACACACACACACACACACACACACACACACACACACACACACACACACACACACACACACACACACACACACACACACACACACACACACACACACACACACACACACACACACACACACACACACACACACACACACACACACACACACACACACACACACACACTTTCCCCCCCTCCATACGTAACATCCACACGCATCATCTCTCCCCTCTGTTACCGCCAAAGTTCCACACTAGTGCAGGTCAGAACTACATTGGAGCTTATATTTACACACACATACATACATGTATTGTACACACACGCATACCGGTCTGTCGTGCACCTGTGTGTCTCGCAGCCCAAAGAATCCTCGCAATTACGTGGCCCCAAACACATGAAACATGTTTGTGCTGCTGGTCCTTGTCATTAGATCAGATCCACACACATCACTTTTAAACTTTTGTGAAGACCTGCGAGACGCGGCGTGTAACCCGCAGCACAGTATGGGAAGATTAAAAAAGAAGTTCTCTGTGCGCAAAGGTGCCGAAGCTGTTGCGGGTTTTGGCGCCGCTGTCTCAGCTCTGATCCAGTAGAACGCATAGATAAACTTATGAAAAGTACGCGGCTCGAAATGGCTGTTATTTCAAAGAACGTGGAATATTTTAAACTACGCGGTTAACCGGTTTCAACCGGTTAATGAGGCTCGGTGGTCGGTCATGAAAATGCATAGTTTTTTACATCCCTAATTCCCAATAAGTTAAGTTTGTTTTGGTGATTACTTAATTTAAGATTTGTTCTTTGCACTCACATGACCTGGTAATTGTGCAATTTGGACACTTCCATAGAATTTATTCAGTTCTTATAGATATTATTGCTCATTCTAAAACATGACAATGACAAACATAAATAGTCTCATTGTTTCCTTTAATGACCAAAAATAATGTGTGATTTCTCTGGGTCCCTCACGATACGATATGTGATGCATAGCTCTGTCATGATACAATAATTAATCGCAGTGTCACCATAGTGTGATATCTACTGTTCATATAATTGTGTCCATTGTTTATGACTCATATTTTACATACATTTGTGGCTTTCTGTATTTACTTTTTACATTTTTGAAGCATATTAAACAAATCATTTATTTTTCTCTTGACCTCTTCTATTTTAATCTTCTCCCCTAAGCCATATTTAACCACACATGCTCTGTACTTTGTCTAGTGTAAGTATTGGTAATGTGATATTCTCCCTAATCCAGGCAGTGCAAGTGTTATAAATATGTACGTAATTGACTGACTTAATTTCACCCCTAGCTTTATATAAGAGAGGAATTTATTATAGATTTATAAGAAAAAGAACAATCATTGACTGTTTCAGGCCTGTGGCTCTTTTGTTATTTTCTGCAGTGATTTAAAATGTGTGAGATTGTAAAGTGTGTGTGAAGTCGCATGTTTAAAGTTGACCTGCAAGTCCGTGCTGTCTTAAAGGTATATAGGAGGATTTTCTACTTCCAGGTGGATCATCAAGACTATTGGTCCTCCCAACTGTCAATCATTCTGGTGATACGTGCTCGTCCAATAAGACCAGAGAGTTCAAAAAGTGGGGAAGGCGGTTCGTTCCTAAAATTATATATATATATCTTTTTAATTATTAGGCAAGACACATCACCCCCATTGCCTAGAATGAGTCTGGTGTGTGTGTGTGAATGGTTGGTGTTGGTCGGAGGGGCAGGTGTTGGTCGTGCAAAAGTCATTTTCTGGTTTTGACAACTCTTTTTTTTACTGGTGCTTTATTTATAGACTTATCAAAAGCCTTTGATATGGTTGACCATTATCTTCTTTTAGACAAACTTCACTGTATTGGTCTGGACAGATCCTCACTCCTCTGGTTCAATTCCTATCTACATCACCGTCAACAATGTGTCTTTTACAATGGTAGCTACTCTGGTTTTTCTTTTATCGAGAGAGGTGTGCCACAAGGTTCGTCACTGGGTCCACTTCTTTTCTCCATTTTTATTAATGACCTTCCCCTTGCCTGTACAGACTGTAGCATTCAACTTTATGCAGATGATACAGTGATTTACACATCCAATGATAACATCATCAATATTCAACAATCTATCCAACATGACTTTAATTCTGTTCAACACTGGCTAAAATCTAACAAATTATTACTGAACAAATCAAAAACAGTTGTCATGTTGTTCCAGAAAAAAATGCATCCTATTTTCTCTAACAAAATTCAGCTTACTTTTTCAGACATGTGTCCAGTTCCAGTCGTTGATAAATTTAAATATCTTGGTTTGTGGCTTGATCCTTCTCTATCATTTAAAGGAATAGTTCACCGTTTTTACATACTGACATATGTTCTTACCTTACGTTAGACTAGTTAATACGTACCTGTCTGGTCTTAGTCCGTGCGCTCTGTCATGCAAACGGAGCAAAAACGGGAGCACAACCGCAGCCTCCTCTGGTCACTGTATAGTACCCAAAAGGTAGCTCCCGCTAGAAGCTACCAAACTCTTCCAAGTGTTCCCTATTAAATGTATATAGTTGCGCAGAGAAGTTAGGAGCGCTACGTCCGCGCACTAACTTCTCTCCGGAGACTTCTCTCTCGCTGCTACTGTGTGTACTACAAGTCACGCTGCTTCTATTGACGGAAGTGAGCGAGAGAGAAGTCTCCGGAGAGAAGTTAGTGCGCGGACGTAGCGCTACTCAGATTACTACGCCTCACAATATAGTACCCGTTTTATCCACTGAGAAAATCGACTGTTACACTGCAAAGTATAGTAACACAGAAATGTAACACGTCACGTAACTATATACATTTAATAGGGAACACTTGGAAGAGTTTGGTAGCTTCTAGCGGGAGCTAGCTTTTGGGTCCTATACAGTATACAGAGGAGGCTGCGTTTGTGCTCCCGTTTTTGCTCCGTTTGCATGACAGAGCGCACGGACTAAGACCAGACAGGTACGTATTAACTAGTCTAAGGTAAGGTAAGAACATATGTCAGTATGTAAAAACGGTGAACTATTCCTTTAACATTCATATACAAACAA